ATTGTTTGCAGAAAACGTAATCGCTGATTCTTGGGATTTCCAGTGCCCAAACGAAAAGCGTAATCGTTCAGAGCTCTCTCCTCGCAAGAAATGCAATCGTGAATTGCTCTCTTTTTCTGTTCCAGCTCCACAGAAAAACTTCGGTCGCACAAGGAGCGGTCGTGGATCAGCTGATACATGCTGTATACTGAATCTATGAGCAGGGGCTGTATACGTATATGTACGGTTAAGGGGTTTAGAGTACAATGCTTTAGGGCCTTTAGGATTTCAGCTTTTCCAACATAAGCCGTACTTTGACAAGGTAACGTTGAATCGTCCGCACAGAGGCTGTGCGGGCATGGACACGACGACTGACCCTTGCAATTCTGCCTACGAAATCTTCATCGGCCTCGCACAGCCAAATAGCAGCGTTCAAGGCATAAGGCTTTCCGGAATCTATCTCGGCCTGCAAAGGCATCAGAAGGTGCATGAAATAATGCAATTTCGGCCTCAAACGGAATCCAGAAGCCCCTGCCCTCGTGCAAAACTCAGCAAGCCATGCATACCCCCGTGCAAATGAGTAGCCTGCGTCAAGCTGAACCTTGGCACAACAAATCGGAAGCCACAGCCCATGCGAGTGCATGGTGCCTACATAGGCAAGCCCTCCCTGGATCGTTTGTAGCATGGCTTGCAACACCCTCCGATCGCCCTCCTGCTTGAGATTCCTCAAGAACAGGGTGATCTGATGATCCAACCACATAAACAAAAGTGTCACCTCGCTGCCTTTAGCATTGATCCAAGCGAACGAGGTAGTGTTCATGTAGTTCAGGTTCGCCCTCGTAAAGCCCTTGAGCGAAGAACACTTCTTGCATGCTAGGGTCCACATGTGGTAGTACGAAAAGGCTCTTTGGAGTCTCTCGGGGACTGCCGTCGACTCTCCCGGCTCATCTGCATCAAAGTATTGCATTACGGCAAGCCTGATGATACAGGAAGCAGCACAGTCTCTAAAAATTCCGAATTTTAGGATGTGAAAAGGATCGCATTGATAGAGGTTTGCCGGGAAGTTCCTCGAAAATGGAACTTGGAGCAAGGGAGGCTCATTTCCATCATCCCATGGATTCGAAGCTCCTACGGTCTGCAGCCACTGGGGTGCCTTGGACACATCAGTGTACGGAAGCCCTTCCTCACCCGCTGAACAGAGTGGGCAAATTTGGAGGTTGCTTCTGGGGCCGGAATTATGATAGGACCGGTTGAATTGTCCGGCCTCAAAATGCCACTCGGCGTCGCCCTTGGCACCTATCAGCATAACCCGGAAAGTTTCTCCATTGTGCTTAAGACCCGAATTGAACAGTTCTGTAAGTTCTTGGGCAACTTGCTTCAGCAGGTTAGGAAGCACATTGGGGTTCTTCTTAAACATCTTCGCTGGAACAGCACAGATCAAGAAGCGACTCAAGTAACTGTGTCCTCGGTTGTTGTGCCTCTGGTGGCTTGTGGGGCAGGAAGCATCCAAGGATTGCTTGGGGGCATTGCGAGTACATTCGGAGAAGTCTACTTCTTGAAATCGCCGTTTCTTGCCACGAGAACTGCAAGGCTGCGTCAGGTTTCCTTGCACGTGCCTTGTGCTTCGCTTCTCGTCAAAGGCACATCTCTGCAACATGCTTGGAGGCAACCCAAAAGGAACCTGGAAGCTGAGAATAAAGATAGGAGACTTTTGTAGCGTCCTACCCTTGTCCCCATGAAGCATCACCGGGATGGCTCGGGATCTCTCTTGGTAACTCAGCTCCGAAAAATTTCGGTGTTGCTTGTGATGGCCTCGAAAGCGTGCCCAGAAAGTGCTAAGGAGGTCCCCGCATGCAGATGCCGATAAGCCCCCGAACAGGACATGTTCGTGTTTACAGAGCAAGTGCTGCATGAAATCTTTCACTGACAGGTACGGCACTGTAACAGCATCGTCATTCCCATCATCCCCATGAGTTGGTGGGACCTCCAGAAAACTAATCGGCACCCTCAGAGCAAGCCCGAACTTGTTAAACAAACGATGAGAGTTCCTCTCGCTGTGGTTTCGATCCACTGTGGCGGCTTCTCTGAGGCCGCCCTTCGCGTTGCCATCTCTCAGAGATGCTTGGGCAACTTCTCCGATGATGCCGGCTGGAGCCTGGGTCTGATTTATTCTGGTTCTCTCGGACTAAGGTGGTTCATGGGCAAGAGTATAGGGGCTTCAAAGATGTTGTGCCGGCTTGGGGGGTTGTGTATATTTAAGGCTTTGAGGATTCAGGGTTCAGGGGCCTTCAAAAGGAGATTTGGATTACGGGGTGTCCGTTCGGGCTTGTGCTCGGCATCTCAAATGTACGGAAGCCCGCAATGTTTCAGATTGTAATCCGAAACTATATAACAAAACAAATATCCATCGATCGATCTACACCATACACAAGAGGAATCTAAAATTATTGAACTTATCTGACGTGTAGCAAAAAAAACACCCTCCGGAAATATATACCCTTTAGGGTTTAGGGTTTAGGGTTTGGGGTTCAGGGTTTATTTAGGGTTTAGGGTTTCATGATAGCAATACTTGAGAAAGCGATCGACCTGAGCTATGCACCCCATCAGCCACTCGTTCGGCCAGAGCCCGTAGTGTGTGACTCGGCACCGGGTCACCTGCATAGGATACATGCATGTGATGCGACAACATTGATCTATGGTGTTGCTCTACCTCAAAGATCCGTGCACGAGCGGCGTGAGCATGATATTTTGTTCTGACATCGAGAGGATGTGGCCTAGGAGGGCTGCCCAATGTCCAGCACATAACAGCCGTAGTTAGGATTTTGGCTGGTCATTATTTTTGCTACAGACCTCCAGAGTCGATGCTACGATCAACATCAAAGCCATAGCCTTTACTAGGCAGCCCACCTATCGCTTCAGCCGTCTTAGGCCTTTGCCAAAAGCTTTGTCCCGAAGGTGCTGCATGGCTGCACAAGGGGCTGCTTCGTCTAGGCATTTACAGGGACACCTTAAACCCTAAACCCCAAACCTAGTAGGGCTTAGTTTAGGGTAGAGGGTTTAGGGTTTCTATTTGACAGACCGGCAGCTCAACATCCTTCGGCAATCCTGTAGCCCAAAATGGTTTCATACATGGATCGACCCTGGCCTCAGCGTCAAGTTAATTGATATACTTGATAGAACATCACGAAAACTGTTCGAGGCCACTCGACCCACCCTGCATCTAGGATGACTTCGCCTTTGCCCGCTTCGGGGGTGGCTTGGGGATTGACTTCTCGGCTGCACGTTTCGGGGTCACGGGCGGCGGCTTTGCTTTCACACGACGGGGTGCCGGGGTTGGCAGCTCCTCCTCCGGCGTGGGCTCCACCTTCGGCAGCAGTGTCCTGTAGACATGGCATTAGGATTTGGGGTGTACGGTTGCTAACTGGAGGTTAGGGGCTGCGGCTTAAGCTTAGGCTTTTCGCAGGGTGATTGAATCAGATCCTCCCTCCCTAGGAAGGTTGGGGCTTCGTTTAGGGTTTCGGTGGTTTGGGGCTTCGTTTGGCGCTTTGGTTTAAGCTTAGGTTTTCGTTGGGTCCTGTGTGATTGATTGAACTAGACTCTCCGAGAGCTGCTGTATGTTGAGG